TCCGTTTGTCCCTTTTCATCAATTGATTTTGTTAAAAGGTGAACAATTTCAAGTAGTTGGGTAACCGTAGAGCGGCCTTTCATAAATCCGTGTTGAAGATGGTATACACGACTGGCTATGAATGGGAAAAACTTATCAAATACACAACGTTCCACTACTTTTTCCACTACACTTAGCAAAGAGATAGGTCTATAATTTGTCACGTTTTCAACATCACCCTTTTTGAAAACTGGCACAACATTTGCCCATTTCCATTCCTTTGGTAACATTCCTATTCGAAGGGAAAGATTTATTATTTGTGTAAGTGAAGGGGCAATCTCATTTGCACATTCTTTTAAAATCCGTCCAGGAATTTGATCAGGTCCACTAGCTTTTGAAGGATTAATGGCCTTCAAAACAGACAAGATATCTTCAACCGTAACATGTAAATTATGCAATTCGTCAACTCGAGGATGAAACACATCATGATTTATCTCTGCTCCATGGTCAGATTTTTGAAAAACGGACGCAAAAAATTTGTTGAACATGTCCGCTTTAGCAGAAGGCGTTGAGGCTTTCTCCCCACTGAGATGAACAATTTTTGGTATCCTGGCTGTTTTTGTTGTGGCTCTGTAAAATGACCAAAACTTACTAGGATTATCCTTTAACTCATCCTGCATAGTTGCGAGATGTTCACGATATTTCTTTTTAGTCAACGTTTTTAGCTGTTTACGAATAGTTCTGTAATTTTCCCAATCACTTGTTAAGTTAGATTTTTTAGCTTTTTTCCACATTCTGTTCTTACACTTAGAGAGATTGATAACATCTCCATCTATCCATTTTGGTGCCTTTGCATCTCTAACCTTACATTTTGGGATAAACATTTCAGCGGTAGTAAGAAATACATCTTTCCATTTTTCCCAACATTGGTCGATATCATCACAGTCAAGTAGCATTTCAAATGGTGTGTGCGCAAGAGTTTCTCTTAACCCATCGAAATCAGCCTTTTTAAAATTATACACAGAACGTGAAAATTTTGTTCGCTTCACAGTTGTCTTAAGGAAAAATGAAATTCCAAGATGATCGGTATTCAGTTGACAATCGAATGTTGAAAGACCGTAAAGCTGATCGGCAGATTTGTAAAAACTAAATCCAAAATGTTGCTTGTTGAGTCAGAAACCCTTGTCGGAGAATAATTCATCTGACTCAAAAAAGCATCGTTTATCATGTCACAGAAAATATTGGGTAAGTTGTCACACCCAGGTGCTACTTGCAGTTCCCAATCAATTTCAGGAAAATTAAAATCGCCACATATATATATATATAACTACAGACGGTACCGTTTCGGCCTAGTGGGCCTCATCAGTGTAGTGCTGATGAGCAGGATGAAAGTAACTCTTATTTATAGTTACCTTTGATGCCTCACGATTGTGGGACATCAAAACCATGCCAGAGCGCTCAAACTGCAAGCAGTGAACGTGCGCAATGCGTAAGCGGCATGGCTCATCCTGTAGAGCGCTCAATATGACCTAAAGGCCATAGAGCGATATCTAACTACAGACGGTACCGTTTCGGCCTTATGGGCCTCATCAGTGTAGTGCTGATGAGCAGGATGAAAAAGTAACTGCTATTTACAGCTACCTTTGATGCCTCACAATGGTGGGACATCAAAAACCATGCCAGAGCGCTCAAACTGCAAGCAGTGAGCGTGCGCAATGCGTAAGCGGCAATGGCTCATATATATATATATATATATATATATATATATATATATATATATATATATATATATATATATATATATATATATATATATATATATATACCGAAAAAACTTGCGCTGTTTGATTTCATGTAAGGTAAAATCTGTCAATGTATCGATCCACTAAAAATGTCATGTAATATTACGTGAGATACAACTGTTTGAATTTGACGCACGCTTTAAAAATAAGTAAAAAATCAAGAAACACGGCTGATCAAATTTATATGAAAACAATTGGCAATGCCATTTTTCACAAAAATTAACAATTTCAATTTTAGCATTTTAACTCAACTTTAAGTACTAGTTAAAATATGAACAGCCGATCTTTATTTGATATACAAACTCGAGCCGAAGGCGAGTGTTTGCATATCAGCTAAAAATCGGATGCGAATATTTTAACGTGCTTAAAAACGACCCATCTAATGAGTTGACCCTTACGTAATTTGAAAAATTTTGGCTCAACAGTTTTTTTAAATTGTCAACGTAATTCAATATATTAATATAGAAACCATTTTTATTAATAAAAATTGGGGCTACCGATGTTGTTTTCGAGTTTAATTTTATTAAAGCCAAAATATCTTCCATATCACGTTGAAACGCCATTGTTGCCATAGCACTTGCGTAATTTTTCGTAACTCTTTAGATGGTGTTTTATATCAGTAAGACATTTTTCGTTTTTCCACAAGTAATAATTCTCCAAAATACGGATCCAAATCGTGAAATTTCCATTTTTAAAAACCTATATTGAGCCACCTTAAGCTGTTTCTATAACAAATAATGTATAATGTGTAATAACCTCAACTGTTCGGGATTGATGGGAAATATCAAACTTCGGTTTAGTTGTTTGTCATTTTGATATTTCTCGTCATGACCATAATGATGCATACTTTGTAAGTAGCTGATATTGTGATCCAATACCAGTATTTTAGAATATATTATAGGTAATAATATGTTCTCGGTCTGTAGGATTTTGCCACCAGATCACTAAGTGACAATAACTTGGGTGTTGAAAATGCGTCCAGACCAGAAGAAGATGATTTAGCTCCATTTCAAATACGGAAACAATGGGAATTAAGGTACGCAGTCTTATGGGGCCGAATAAATTATTATCCATGCAAATGTTATTGCATGTTATTAATTAAGCGAATTTCTGTGAGAATTAAATTTCTATAACGCTCGGGCGGAGTTTGATTTGTATTCCTTGCAATTTATAACCGCTTTTGTTTTGCATGAAACTGGATCTGCTTGCAAAAACTCAACCTTGGTATCAGACCAATTCTCCATCCTTAAATATGGGTGGAGTGAAGAGAAGGATGGCCTGCTTGAAACAAATCTTTACCTGTCTGTAATATGTTGTTTTTAATATTTCTGTGAGAGTTGTACAGGGTGTATAAAAAAGGTAACCTAACTTCAGCGCGCTAATAGATCTACTTTACGTATGAACAATTTGTTTCATATTCTGAAAGATCAGGCTTTTAGCTGTTGAATGAAAAGTTTTTAATACCAAATGAAGAGAAAATTAGCAAATAGGTGTCGGATAAAAAATGGTAGTCAAAATCGCAAACCACTGAAAAATAACTCCCTTTGGGACTTCAGTAACGGACGAATTTTGCCTCTGAATAAACAATACCCGCATATGCATATTACAGTCAAACCGGATGTTCGTTTCCGCGGAATATTGCAACATTGCTGTCAATCAGAAAATATTCATTGGCTAGTTTGTCTTAGCAATTACCAATCAGTTGAGCAAAATTGCAACTTGTAATTTCCAATATTCCGCGCAAAATTTAAATTTCCCATTTGTAATTATCCAAAGCAAAGTGCTAAAATGACGACTCACATAGCAAATAAGACTTCTTTACCAACCCGAGAGCGTATTATTGCTTTTTGGGCGGAAGGTGAGAGCAATAACAATATTGCTACACGTTTTGGCATAACCAGGCATACGGTATCGAATATTGTGGGAAACATGATGGAAAGAGGCCATTTACTAGATATAAAACCAGGAGGGAAACCTAGAGAGATAGCCAAACCGAACGTAGTAGAACACATCGAATTTGAAAAGCTATCAAAACCAAGCACATCTGCCGTCGAAATACAAGCGGCCTTGCTAAACGATGGGGTATGTACAGTTGACAATCTTCCAGCAAAATCAACAATTGGGGATATAATCAAAAACGATCTGAACTACAGTATACATACAGAAAACTTACAGTAATATCCGAAGAATCGCTGACTGAAGTCGTTAGAGAACGTACATTGCAGTACATTATGCAGATGAGCGAAGTTGATCCCTCACGAGTCCACTTCTTCGATGAATCGTCTGTTAAAACGACAACTGGAAATCGTATATATGGTCATGCACTAAAAGGTAAACCGGCTATAGAGGTTAAACGCTACGCTTCCAATTGCAACTACACTGTTAACTTGTTGTAAAGTATATTCGGGATAACGAATTATGGAATTTTGAATGGTGCATCCAATGGCCTAGAAATGCTCGCGTTTTTCAACGAATCGCTTGATATAGTCGACGACGTTTACGGGAATCATGTTCTTGCTAACGGAGATACAGTTGTTATGGATAACTGTGACGATTTGCCGAGGCTGAGTTGCGAAGAGAGGAGTGACATTAATCTTCCAACCACCGTATTCTCCTGAATTTAACACATGTGAATTCAGCATTCGACTCATGAAAGCTTTCATGAGAAAACACGAACATTTTTCGGTAAATTTTACCGAAATGGCGATACTAGGCGGACCGAAGAAGTCACACCAGAAATCTGTCGAAAATTCTTCGAACACTGCATGTGGATTTCTATAGTTTAAACTTTTTTGCTAAGAGATAATGAATATTTAGGATTCATTTTGTATTTAGGGTTAGGGTTTATATGTTTTGTAATATGACATCATACTAGTTCATACTTGTAGTATTTATTGACTGAATGACTGTAAGGTTTGTGCTCGGTTTTGTGTTCAAGATTACATGCAGTATAATGAAGTATACGCAATATTACTGGTAAAAGATTTATCTAATTCTCGCGTTTGTATTTCGAAACATGTGTTTCAATTCTCTAAAACTTTAGAGTTTATCTTATTATAACAATAACAACTAGAAACGAGGGAAAGCGAATTTTAAATTGATCATAACAGAGCAAACTGAATTCCTATACAAGTGTATAAACTAAAAATAGGCTTCACGAAATATACAAACAATTTATGGTATTACTGCATGTATTAAACAAACACAACATTTACAATATCAAAATTTATATGAAGGTTCTCAGTTGTTAAATCTACAAGTTTTTTGCTATTCCTATGAGTGCATCAAACAATATTACTGTAAACAATATAAAAGTTTGAATATAAATTGTATAAAAGTTTATAAAGTATTACTGTAAAGTTTGCAACATTTGCAAATTGCAATGTGCAATCATATAATTTTATAATATGCAAGTGTTGATTTCCCCAAGTGAAATTACCTTTATACTTTTTAAACTGAACACAACTGATGATAAAATCCAAACAAAATGAGAATGAAACAAGCAAGAATCCCAAAGCTAAAAAGTCGTAATATTACCTAATGTGTCTATATCACTGTAATTTTATCGCAATGTTTCAAGTCGTAGTTTCTTATCTTGAAAGTAGATTTGCCTGCTTCTTTACCGAGGAATCTATAAATATTTATGAAGAGTTGCTAGATAAGATTAAGGAAGTTGTTCCATATAGTAGAAATATTCCGTCCGAGCGAATTCGTGTCGCGTACAAAGATATCAATCTGTCAACAAATCGAGGGTCCGACGAAGGGATTTTTATCAATATTTCGCCTGGAGAAAGTTTGATTCTACAAGAAGCTTTCCGGAATGCATACGACTGCGGTTCAGAGTCATTTAAGAGAGTACATCAGCCTAGTCCCAGTCGTTCTGAAGCGAACGCGAAAAAAAAACGTGGATGAAATGCGAGACTGTCACGTCACTAGGTGTGACGTCACAGCTAAAGGTGCTTTAGAACGCCTAGCAGATTTCAGTATTTTTAATATGGCGGAAAATTTGCATATACAAATAACTTTGTTAATACGACAATGTTCGTTGATCATATTCGATGTCTACATAACTAAATTTAAACTGTATTAAAAATGTGCTCAATGAAAAAAACCCAGTTTTGTCGTATAATTGCAATTTGCTCGGAACACGTGTTAGGAACTTGAGCGACTCGGTCGCAACTTGCAGAGTGGAACTAGCTAATGAATATTTTTTGATTGACAGCAATGTTGCAATATTCCGCGGAAACGAACATCCGGTTTGACTGTAAGTAGGAATACACCTCAGTCATTAATAAATCTCAGTCATAAATAATTTTCAACAAACATGTTGTAAAACCAGATGCAAGCTGTGACATGTTCGTGATTAATGGTTTTTGTATTTATGCATGCGAAGCATAGATACATTGCTATCGCGTTGTTTGTGGGTTAGACACTCAGGTCGTGTCCACCTTAAATACATACCTGCGAACAGGCAGCCTAAAATAAAAACAAAATGGCGGCTTCTATTCAACATTTTATGTGTACAATTAATAGTACATCGCTATTAACATCTGTTTCACAAACAACAATACAATGAAAATGTACTGTGACAAGGTGAGAGTTTGTTTTTTTTGTCTAAACGTTTTGTATGTGATTTGAAATATGGTTATTGTGGGGAAAGTCATACTCAACACTGAAAATGTGTAATGTGTCAAGGTTTTTGACCAGGATTATGGTATTAACTATTATGCTGGAAAGTAACAACATTTGAACTCAAACTTAAAAATGAAAAATAGAATTTGATATTATATTTGTATACTTTGTTGTCTTGAATTGAAAATAAGAAATAATCTTAGTACATTATATAGCTGAAAGTGAAATGCACTGGTCGAGAATGCCAAAGTGCAGGGTAAGAGAAGCTCTAGAAGTACAAGACAATGCACGTGAAAGGTGGGGACTTTCTATGAGCCGTAGGGGGTACAGGGCATGCCCTCATGAAAATTTAAGTTAGGGTATTCATCAATTGGTTGATCAAAACTTTCTGATTTATAATCATAACTTTTGTTAATTAAACTTTGAATAATAAAATTGTATCAAGTGTTGTCACTACTCAACCTATCCACCAGTCAGGCACTTTATCGATCTATTAAGTGATGAAGATAAAGCACTTAGCCATTAACTTTTCAATTTGCATCTTCCACAGGAACTAAGGGACCAGTCGTTATTCATACCAGCGGTTGGGGCCGAAAAGAAATTATTTTAACCACAAAAAAATAATTCACCCAACCAACCAATACCGGAATTTTGAAATAGCCCCCAAAATGCAATTTACTGCAGATAAATGTACACATACGTACCTATTTTTCATTACTCATTTTTTATTGACCATTGCCATTGTTTTAAAAAACCTTGTCCACATCAGAACAAAACGGTGAAACTGTTCATGTAACTAAAAATCTAAGCCACTTTCATTTTTCGTACACACCCTGCGACGGAGAAGCGAGCTAGGTCTGTGCAAAAAAACGAAGGGAAATTAAATACCTTTTCGTACAGGCCAGGCAAATGAACTAATAAAATAGGGAATTTATTATATGCTTACCATTTCCGCGGACAGAAAAATGACTTACCTGATGTATAAAATACAGTCATATTAAGCCGGAATGTGCTCTATTCTGTTTAATATTCTGCTTTGTCTAATGGTTTACTTCAACTTTTGAACACCGAGCAGTTGATTTAAAGAATAGACTGTAATCTATACTAACAAGTTTTACATTGATTTTGATCATTCTTTGTGACATGAATCATAACGAATAAGGTTAATATAAACAACTAAAAATGCAGTTTTTTATAGCAACCATGTGAATTACTTTGTGCCCGTTTTATGCTTTGTATAGATACATGTACGCATAGCGTGTTTATTTTTTCTTTTGTTATGCACTGCTTTAATTAGGCACAGAGGTGGAAATATGCGATGTTGACTACCATTTTTTATCGGACTCGTATTGCGATAATTGGAGGGTGTATATTCATATATTCATGTTCACATACCGTAAAAACAATCGCTTTCAAAAGAAATCCGTCGGGCAGAACACGAATATATGAATATGCACACCAATCCCCCCCCCCCCCCCCC